CCTACAGTCTCATTGACAGACTGGGCCTGGCAGTCACCTCCTTCTACAGGACCAGCTGGTCACCCAGGTGGCCGGGCATTGGCCAACGGACTCCACTCTTGTTCTTCTGCTTGGAGGCATTGTTAAGCTGGGGACTCATTTGTCTATGCTGGGCCAGCGGATGCTTTTGGGCGACTATCCTCTCTCTGAGCCCCAGACATCCATTGGCTCCCCTGCCCTTCTTCTAGACCCTTAGCATCAGCTGTGGCCAGACAGGGTGAGCTCCCCAACCGAGCCTCCCCTTGCCGTCCTGTCCTCCTGGCACCGAGGACCCTGCCTCTCAGGAGATTCTAGCAGCAGCAGCATCTACCTTTCCCCGCTGCTTTTTACACCAGGCATGGCCAGCCCTTAGCCAACAGCTGCTGCCAGGAGGTACCTAAGGGGCCCCGGTGCACCTGGGAATATGTGTGGGTCCAAGTAGGACTCCCTTGCAATCCCCGCTCCGGATTCGGAGAGGTCAGGGAGAAAGACGTCTGGACCAGGGGTGGGGTTCCTCCCCTCTGAGCTTTTTTGGGGTGAGCTTCTCTAGACCATTGGGGGTTGGAGACCCACTTATGCTTTGAGCGCACCTGAGATACAGACTCCCCTGAGCTGAGCTGGGCTGGGAGCAGATATACAAGGAGGTGACCCTGCTGTGTGCTGGGCAGCAGGAAGAGCTAACATTCTGGATCCCCCATGTGACCAGTCATGTATAGGAATATGTACCTGTTGTTCATGTGGGATTTGGTGGGGGTGCTGGGTGTAGACTAGGACTCACCCAGCACCCACTGTGTGTACTTATGTAGGTGATATATTGAAAGTGGGACAGGCAGAGTCCAGTTCTGAACAGGACTACGGATGCCCTTCTTTAGCTACAAGTAACAAAACCCGACTCCAACCAGTTTAAGCAACAAGGGAAAGTTTATCACTAGTCTGGGGGCAGGAAGGGGGGTGCGGTCTTAGGGAATCTCAGGGCAGAAATACAATCGGGCTTCAAAAGAAACCTGCACCAGGGCCTGGCTGGACCACCCCTCTTTCTCTTGTCCTTCCCCCCTTCTCTGCAGACCACTTTCCGTCCCCAATTCAGCCCGTGGGAGGTACTTCAGCATCTCATTAGTACATGCCCCAAAGCTGAAATGGAATCTCTAGTCCAGTTTTAAAATGCCAAAAGGGGGGCACCTGGATGGCTCAGTTGGTTAAGCATCCGACTTCCCCTCAGGTCATGATCTCGAGGTTCGTGGGTTCAGGTCCCGCATGGGGCTCTGTGCTGACAGTTCAGAGCCTGGAGCCTGCTTCGGATTCTGGGTCTCCCTCTCTCTTTGCCCCTCCCCTGCTTGTGCTCACTCTCTCTCTCAAAAAAAAAAAATAAATAAATAAACATAAAAAAGAATTAATTATATTTTTTAATTACACACACAACTAAGTACTTTTCCCCATTTTGCAACTGAAGAGAATGAAACACATAGAGTTTTCAGCAATTTTTCTAAGGTTACAGAGCTGGAGCTGGGCTTGACACTTCAAGGTCAGTCTAGCTCCAAAACCAGTGTTCTGTTCCACCCTTCACTCCACATGCATTCACTGAGCACCTGTTATATGCCAAGCCTATTCTAGGAGCAGGGGAGTCACCAGGAGTCAGACTCAAATCCTTTCCCTCATGAAGCTTACATTTTCAGGGAGTAGAGAGCCAATATTCCATATATGGCCTATGGAGCAGTGAGAATTCTTACAGAGAAACATAAGAGAACAAAGGAAATTAAGGGAAGGAGGATAGGAAGTATGGGGAAGCCTGTGATTTTAGACAGGGTAGCCAGGAAGGCCTTCTCCCTGAGAAGGCGGTGTTTGAGCCCCTTCCTGAAGGAAGGTACAGGAAGGAGTCTTGTGGGAGAAAAGCGTTCCAGGCAGAGGGAATAACCTGTGCAAAGTCTCTGAGCACGAGCCAGCCAGGGAGGGACAGCAGGGGTGAACTCAGGGCCTTAGCGATGGGGGAGGACTCTGTTTCTCTGCAGAAGACGGACCCCTGGGGGCCTGCAGGCACAGTAATGACATTACCTGCTCTGCCGTCGAGCAGGGTCACTCCAGCTACCAGGTTGGCAGTAGCCTTCGGTGAGAATGTGGCAGAAGCAGGGAGACCGGGTTACAGGGCCTCGGGCCTCTCAGCACTCCCGCTGTCTAAAGGCCAGCTGATGGCACCAGCTAGAACCCACATTTGCAATCTGTGCCCACGGCCATCCCCTACTCCTGGCTTTCACTGTGGCCCATCTGAGCTGCCTCCACAGCCTCCGCTTTGGGGACACGGTTCAAAAGCCCTGCAAGGAGCCTGCCTGTCCACTTGCACTTGATAAGACCCAGAATGGAAACAAAGACTCACACAATCCGTGTTTAAACTGAGGAAGTTTTAGGCTTTGTTGCCCTACCCAACAAGGTTTTTTTTTTGTTTTTTTTGTGGTTTTTTTGTTTTCAAATTCCCCAGGAGAAAGGGAGAGACAATCTCGTGAGTTTCCCTGCCCCAGCTCCATCCAGGACCGTGGGTCTGGCTGGGCTAACCCCTCCTTGGGACCAGAAGGATAAATAATTGCTAGATATGGCGAGAGGAGTACACTGAGGCGAGCCCTACCCGGCCCCCTCCCCCACCCCACTTCCCAGCTCCTCCCAGGGCAGAGGACACCTTTATAACGCTTCACATAGTGACTGCAGTCACAGGGCTGTCCCTGAGATCCAGCCTGCCCCACAGCAGTCAGCCTGCCCTAGCTTTTCCTTGAGGGGAAGAACCATCTAGATCCGCACTGTCCAGGAAGGGAGCCACGAGCCAAACATGGTGATTGAGCATTTGAAACATAGCTAGTCTGAACTGAGATGCACAGAATAGCTGACTGAAATAGCTCCTTAATCATTGGTATATTAAAATGCAAATATTTGGGGGTTGAAAGTTGTAAGATATTATTTTCACCTGTTTTTTTTTTTTTACCTTTTTAATGTGCTACTAGAAGATTTTAAATTACACACAGTGCTCATGTTCTATTTCTATTTGATAGTGCTGCTCTAAGGTTATGACTGGCACCCCCATCATCTCCACAGAACAAAGCTAAGAGGGATCAAGGATAATTATTTTGTTGGGGCGTTTGGATGGCTCAGTCAGCTAAGCATCCTACTTCAGCTCAAGTCATGATCTCACAGTTTAAGAGTTTGAGCCCAACATGAGGCTCTGTACTGACAGCTCAGAGCCTGGAGCCTGCTTCGGATTCTGTGTCTCCCTCTCGCTGTGTCCCTCCCCTACTTAAAATCTGTCTCTCTCTCAAGTAAAAATTAAAAAAAAAGAAAAGAATTATTTTGTGAGCTGAGAATGGGAAGGAAAGTTTGATTTTGTTTTTTCTCGTCTATTTCATCCATATCAGAAGGAGAGAGAACAGGGTGTTACAGGGGGCTCTCTCCAGGAGATGGGGACAGTTACAACCACCTCCAAGCGGGCCCCCTTCACCCACCCGAAGTGGGTGCGCTGGGTGGTGCTGGATTCCCTATTAGAAGCAGAGCCCTGGCCACATCTCTGTTACACTTCGTAATCCTCCAGGGACACCGCAAGTGAGTCCAGAGTCCTTGCCATGGCACGCACGTCCCTGTGCAACCCGCCAAACTTGCCCTTCCAGTGTCTTACATGCTCCCTACACCTATCCCTTCACACATTCATTTATTCGACAAATATTTATTGGTTACTTCCCATGTGCCAGGCAAAACACTGGCTCCTAAGGTCACAATGGTTAGCAAAACAGACACTAAGATCACCGGCGGGGTGGGGGTCGGGGGGGTGACTAGTAAGTAAATAAGGGCAATTACAGCACATGCAGCAGGAGTAGCTGTGGGGGAAGGACAGGGGCAGTGGCTCCACCAGACACACACAAACCAGCCTGAAAGTCTAAGAGGGCTTCCTAGAGGAGGTGACATCACAGTTAAAGAATTCGAGTTGGCCATACTGAGGCTGCGTGGTGGGAAGTACCCCATGCAGAGGAACTCTGAGTTCAAAAACCAACTGGAAGAGCAAAGCAGTGGACAGAGCATGCAGACCTGAAGTACGTGCAATCTGGCTGGCTGGCAGGGGCCAGTGGCAAGTGAATGGCCTGGTGTAGATGGCACGGTCCGTGTGAGCCCTGCAAAGGAGTGTGGCATATATGCTGAAGTGTTTATTCTGCAAGAGTTGTAAGCAGGGGAGCTCCGGTGTGCACCTGAAAAGAGTTTACTCCTCCTCCTCCTCCTCCTCCTCTTCTTCTTCTTCCTCCTCCTCCCCCCTCCTCTGGGAGAGTCCCATCCCACCTTCCCCAACAGGAGCCACATCCAAGAGGCAAGCCTACTTGCAGTCATGCATTTGGGGCTTTAAATGAGACTCCAATCCAGGGATGAGGGTACTGGGTCTGGGTTTGGGGATCAGCTAGTGTTGGAATTTGGGGCTAAGGCAGGATATTAGTTGGGGGCTGAGAGGTGGGGGCTGAATTGAGAGACAAGAGTCAAGGTCGTAGTCTAGGATCTAATTCCAGAATTTGGAGCTGGGGTTGGGGTGAGGAACTGGAATGAGGTTTCAAGCCAGATGTGGGGTTGAGATCTGGCACTGGGACTGGGGTTGGATTTGGAAATGGGGCTGGGGGTGGGCTGAGATACGGGGTAGGGGCTGCAGCCAGAGCTAGGAATTCTAGATAGGGTTTGAAACTGCAGCTGGGGTGGGGTTAGGTTTAGGCTGGAATGAAAGTTAAGCTGGGCTCGGAGCCAGGGGATGGGTTAGGGTCCAGGCTCTGGGGCAGATAGACAACATTCCTCCAGCTACCCAGATCTGGGAATTGTGTTCGAGCCCTAACAGCAGTTGACAGAAGCCCCTCCCTTCCCAGGAATGCCTCAGCCCGGCAGAAGGAGCTTTGCCACGTCAGCCAATCAGCTCAAGCCCTGCCTTGGAAACACCTGTTGATCCCCTCCCCACACACCCCCGCAAGGCTTACCTGGACGCAGGTTAGGCAGGTGAAGCGCCTCCCCGGAAACGGAGCTGGAGCGCCCCACCTGCCGGGCCCAGCCTGCTCTGGTCGGATCCAGCACTTCCAGGTTTCTTGTGAGTGCCCCATGGTCCCCTGAGCCCCACCGCCCCCACTTTCTCCCACCGGCGCTTCCTGACAACCTCCACTCCACCCCCAGCCTGGCCCCACACCTGTGCCAGCACTTTCCAACTGACCCCGTGAAGTCACAGCCCTGAAGAATGCTGGGACTGACTCTACGTCCCCTCCCACGGCCCCTCCCCCACCTCCCTTCCTCCACCTCCCTTGGGGGCATCTGCACCTGCTCCTCCCACCTTGAGAGCTCGGCAGCCCCTGGAGTGAGGTTGTGAAGGACCAATAACCTCATCAGAGGTGTAACCCATGCACAGCCCCATTAATCATATTCCTGGACTGATCCAGGACCTGCATCCTATATATAAAGCAGGAGTCCTATCCTAAATGAAAGAGGAGAACATCGTGTTCTCTTATTCAAAAAGCACGCTTTGGGCATCTGTGCGGGGCCCAAGAATTCCCACTGGAATTATGAAGGGGCCATGTCAAATACTCGCTCCCATCCTTCAAGATGTTATTTTTATCATTTTTCAGATAAGGAGACTGAGGCTCTAAGAGGTGAAGTCATTCAGGGCTTCTCTGACCTTCCCCTAAGCCCCTCTTCTGTCTAACCCACACCCACCATTTATCACATATACACACCTGCTGTAAACTGGGGCTCCTTGAGGGCAGGGACCACAGCTGCTTTATTTCACCCAGTTTGAGTCATGCTGACTGTCCTCTAGAGGACATGCTAAATGAGTAACCACTGTCAGGTCCCTTGCCCAAGTCCCATGGGTGGTAAGGATGGCAGCTGGGGTTCAAGTACAGAGCCCTCCTTCTCCCTTTGCACCACTTTAGAGAAATTGTGGAGGAGGATGTCATGGGGGGGGGGGGGCAGGGAATGGGAAGAAGGAGAAGAGTGGGACACAGGAAGATGGGTGTGGGAGGAGGTGGTGAGGCAGGAGCCATGGAGATGGAAACAGCGTATAGACGGAGAGAGGTTTGCAGGTGGCCTCCCTGGGATTACGCTCTACAAGGAAGTAAGGAACATGAGCGGGGAGGAGGTCTGGGCTAAGATGGCGAGCTTGGGGTGGGACCTGTTGCATCAGAGGTGACTACGGAACATCCAGGTGACAGTTAGCCTAGGGGTCTGGAGCTCAGGAACGAGATCCAGGTTTGAGGGAGAAAGGGATTAGGGCACCAGCGGCTGTGGATGGGAAATCCGATGAGATGTTGGGGAAGGAGGGAGCTAGGGGTTAGATCCTGACCCACAGAGAAGTAGCCGGAGCCTGAGAGAGAAGGTTCAGGGTCAGGCTGCTGGTTCCAGAAGAGTTAAGTCATAAGCCCCCTCCCTCCCCACCACCCTCCCCCCAGGAGCCAGTGGTGACAGCTGAGGCCATGTGAGTCAGATCCTGAATGAGGCTTTATCTCTGCTCTTGGTCCCATCATCCACTGTGGCACCCACTCCTTCGCCAGCCGGGATGGGACAGGCAACCGAGAGAGCCGGAGAGGTCAGGGGCTGGGCCAGGGGCTTCCCTGGAGGGGTGGGGGATGTGCTACGTGGGAGAACTCCCTGGGGTCACTGGAGAGGCTTTCCCAAGTGTCAGTGTGGGAGGCTGGGGAGAGGCTGTCAGGGGACATTGGGGAGGACTCCCTGGGATCATCCCCAAGGCTCCCAGGAGAGACCATAAAGGGTGAGTGAGCTGGGTCACAAGTGTGATTCCCCCTGCAGGTGATGGTGGCCGTGCCCTGGACTGGGAGAGGAACAGGACTCTGGGCCTCCAGCTGCAGAGCTGGTGGGGGGGGCTCTAGGCCATGACCTGCACCCTCTAACCCCCGATACTGACTTCTGTCCTCTGCCCTGACCCCTGCTATGTCGGAAGGAGAGGCTCAAGCCCCGCCGGCCCGCGGGCTGCCCGCGGACATGCTGGCTGAGCAGGTAGAGCTGTGGTGGTCCCAGCAGCCACGGCGCTCGGCACTCTGCTTCGCCGTGGCCGTGGTGCTTGTGGCTGGCTGCGGGGCGGGGGGCGTGGCACTGCTGTCCTCCACCAGCAGCCGCTCGGGCGAGTGGCGGCTGGCGGCCGGCACCGTGCTCTGCCTGCTGGCTCTGCTGGTTCTGGTCAAGCAGCTGATGAGCTCTGCTGTGCAGGACATGAACTGCATTCGCCAGCCCCACCATGTGGCCCTGCTACGGAGCGGTGGAGGGGCCGATGCCCTGGTCGTGCTGCTCAGCGGCCTGGTGGTGCTGGCCACCGGCCTGACCCTGGCCGGGCTGGCCGCCGCCCCTTCCCCGGCCCGGCCGCTGGCCGCCATGCTGTCTGTGGGCATCGGCCTGGCTGCCTCGGGTTCACTTTTGCTGCTGGGCTTGCTGCTGTATCAGGTGGGCGTGAGCAGGCACTGTCCCCCTCTCCGTGCGGACGCCCCCTCCGCCCACGGTGACCGCAGCGGCAATGGCAGCATCTTCAGCATCTCGGGACAGTTTTCTGCAGGCCAGCGTCATGAGACCACATCCAGCATTGCCAGCCTCATCTGACCAAGCCCGGTTCCCCTTTCCACGACCTGCCTCAGCATCCACAGAGCCGTGCCAGGCTGTGTGCCTGTATGAGTGTGTGCTTGCACGCACCTGTGAGTGTGTACGTGTCCCCAGGACTGTCCAGCCCTCTGTGGGACTGTGAGACATGAGTACCCACACATCCATGTCACGGGAAGGCGGGACTGGAGGTTTGTGACCATGGAACTGTCAGAGTCTACCCATCTCTATCGGGGGTGCCTGAATTTTCATGGCCCCTGTTCCCAACCCCCCTCAAATCCAACCCTGCCTTGGAACACCGATCAGAGATTCCCTGGGAGGGACTGTGCCTCCCCCAGAGACCATACCGGTGACTCTTCACTGAGGAGGGTAACCGGTGACAAAGTGCAAAGAACACGGACTCCACAGTGTGACAGGACTGGACTGGAATCCCCCACCGGCAGGGGGCCTTGAGCAAGGGACTTAACCCCTCTGAGCCTCAGTTTCTGGAGAGTCATGGTCATGGTAATCGATCGTGAGGACCCCATGACATCGTGTGTGGAAGGACTGGGCATGTGGCAGGTGTGCAATAAAACGGGTGGCTGCTGTCGTTGTTATTGTCTGTACCTCACCCTACCTTCCCACTCGGCTCTCCCCTCCCCAACAACTACCGCTTCTACGGTGAACACTGTGCCTGCCTCAAGCTGACAAAAGGTACCCTGGCGTGTCCCCTATGAGGCCTGCGGTTTTTCCTCATAGGTATGAGGAAGCTGGAGTGGGGAGAGGGTGAGGGAAGGGGGGTAGGGAGGACCGTCGCCTGAGTCCTTCCCATTTGCTCCTCTGCTGGTTCAAGATGAAGTCTTAAGTATTGGTGTTTTATCAGCTGGTTTCTCTGGAGGCTGCCTCCCCTGACCCCACCTCTGGAACCAAATCGTCCTGGCCTGTGTAGTAGCTGTACCTGCTGGCCTTCCTCTGGGCAACCCCTGCCCCCACCCAGGGCATGCGAAGGTTGTTTGAAAGCCCCTGGGCTTTAAGAGTCACTCCCAGCTTGGGGTCAGCCCTAGAAGGGATCTCCCTTCTACGGTGCAGAACCACCTGTGTGGTGCCGATCACCTTCCACGAGAGAGCACGGGGACAGGAGCGACGGTTAGTTTCATCACTCCCTGCTTCTCGAGGTCAGATGCCATGCAGCCTCCCAGGGCACCCTGACGGGCTGGGAAACAGACAGGCCTCCAGGGGGCCCTAAGTGTGGAGACACAGGTGCTCCAATGGGAGGAAATTGCTTTCAGGAAGCCAAGATCTAGGGGGCCTCCTGGAGAAAATCCCAAGCAGATGGATGAGGGAAGGGTGTTGCCAGCCGAGGAGGGAGCGTGGTGAGTGGGAAGAGGGCATGTCCAGGAGGACAGTGGAGCCTCTCCCCAAGAACCGTGACATCTCAGACCCCACATATTCAACATCGGGTCCCCCTCCTCATCCAGCTCCAGCCGCCCTTCACCCAGCACCCAGGTTAGAAAGCTCAGCGTGGTCCCAGACAGCACCCCCGCTCCCTCCTTATCCTGTGTCCGTGCACATCACCTGCAGACGTCCCCACAGATGTGTGTGCGGTGCTCCGCTCTCCACACTCACTCCCAGCGCCCTCTCCATCTCTGCCTCATTGTGCAGCCTCCCCCCTGGGCACACTACTTTTGCTCTTTTTTTTTTTTTTAATGTTTGTTTATTTCTGAGAGAAAGTATGAGCAGGGAGGGGCAGAGAGAGAGGGAGACAGAGGATCCAAAGTGGGTTCTGTGCTGACAGCTGAGAGCCCGATGCAGGGCCCGAACTCATGAACCAGTCTGCAATCCTTTCTCTGTGTGCCTGTCTCCTTAATCAGGTGGTTAGCTCCTCCTGGCAGGATTTGGGTCTTGCTCATCTGCATATCCCTTGTTCCCAAGATGGGCCTGACACATAGCAGGTGCTTTGCCACATGGATGAAGGACTCAGCGTGGTCGGAAGGAAATGTGCATCCAAGGATCAGGGAATGACCCACCTAGAATGGGGATGGGTAGGGAACTTAGGCCCCTGTCCACTGTTGGCCCTGAATCTTTCTGCCCCACCCCCCAAACTCTCACGCTTCCAGGGTTCCCAAGAAGGATCTATCATTATCACCAACTACAGGGTTGCCAGAGAACCCCACACGGCCTCTCCACCCCATAATGTGGGCTGAAATTCTGTTTCTTTTCAACTGAGACAGGGTTACTCTTTCACCATATTTATTTGAAAAAAAAAACAACAAAAAAAAAAACTAAAGGAAGGGGCACCTGGCTGGCTTAGTGGTGGAGCATGCAACTCTTGATCTCAGGGTTGTGAGTTTGAGCCCCATGATGGACATAGAGGTTACTTTAAAAAAAAAAAAAACCCTAAAGAAAATCCTAAACACACACACACACACACACACACACACACACACACACACACACACACAAAACAAAACACCTAAAGGAAAAACAGAAACACAGATGCCTAGAGAAGGGGGTGGGGGACGGGTTACATCACACAAACGTCTAGATCAGCAGCTACTGCTGGCAAGGCCTTTGTTAAGCTCTCCTGGGAGGAATGCCAGATGAAGAATACGGCCCATGGCTCCAGAGGGCTGTTCCAAAGGGCAATGGAAGTGAGCACGTTATACACACCCAGTATAACATGGGTCTGGGTGAGAGCTAGGTCCAGGCACAGGCAGGGCAGAAATGGCTACTACTTCCGCAATCTCTAAAGCGACTTCCCACAGCCACCAACCTCCAGCTTCTTTGCTCAAAGCTTCTCACTAAATCCTATCTTAGTCCACATTGCAACCAGCCATCTGCTGGCCCCTTCGGCCCCTTCGGCCCCTTCGCGCTCTTTTGCTCTCTCCCTAAAGCTGTCCCCTCCTGTCTTCATCTCCCTCTGGTTAAAATCCCATCACCCAGCATTTCACCCACTCCTTCACAGAGTCCTCAACTCCTTAGTCCTCCTGCCCGCCTACCTCCCGTCCTTTGGAGTTCATCCATCTGCTTTCGCCACACCTACCACCTCACAGTGAGCAGGTATTAGAGAAATCCACACGGCCAGGCCACCTGGTGTCACCATGAATTCCTCATCACCCATCTCCACTGGTCTGCAATTCTGCTCATCAGTTACGCTGCATCTGCCTGGTTAGCTCCTGCTTCCACAGGGGCCCCCCAGTTCTCTCCACCCCCCTCACACCTCAGCATCACCCCCAGCAACACCACCCCCTGCAGATGGCGTGGCCACCCCCATCATGAGAAAATGAGGGTCATGGGATAGGAAGCCTTCACCTTGCTCCCCCCAAACCGCTCCTCCTTTACTCCAATCTGTGGAATGACCTCGTCAGCCCAGCTGAGGAATTTGGACTTTGTCCTCAGGACAATGAGAAACATGGAAAGCTTTTAATTAGGGAAGTACTCTGGCCAGAATAGGATTTGGGACTGGCTGGCTGCAGCGTAGAGCCAGGAATTGGCCTTAGGAGAAAAAGAATCAGAAGAAATGTCCAATCAGCCCCACAAGTGCCATTTCTGCTGGCCCCTGGGGGATGAGAAGCAGCTGGCCAAGCTAGAGAGGTTAACGAAGAGTGCCAGGAAGAAGAAAGGGCAGAAGGAGGGTCCAGAGACCGAGAACTTGGCTCCTGCAAGGAAACACACAGGGTTTATGTGATGAGAACTGGAGCGTTCAGTGACAAGAGGCAAGGGGTACAGCCAGGGAGGAGCCCCAGGCCAGTCCCTGGCTTCAGAGGCTCTGTACCAGGTGGCACCATTTAAGGTCAAGAGGAAGCCAGTGAAGGATTTGAAGCAGAGGTAGTAGCGTGGTCAGAATTGTGTTTTAGGACAGTCGTTCCCCCTGCAGCACAGAGAATTAACTGGAAAGGGTAAAAACAGAGGCAGGGGAATTGGTTGGCTGAAGAATGCTATCTGCAGATGCAAGATGAAGGGGGCCAAGGGGGTGGCTGTTGGGACAGGTGAAACACCACAGATCAGTGGATGTTCAGAGGGTGGGACCAACATGTCTTTGCGATTGAGGAGCTTTTTAAGATGGGAGAGATGTGATGGGTTGACAGATAGAAAGACAGATTTAAGACACAAGGCAAAGAAGCTGTTCTTAAAGTTCATGAATGGAGGGGCAGGGTGGGTGGCTCCAGGGCACAAGATGGCGGCATTGGGTTTATGGTGCCACTTTGATAGGAGAGAAGGAAGAATGGACACAGGTAAGTTTGCAGGGTCTGTAACAGGAAGTTGAGGGAGGCCCTGACCAACAACTGTTCTCTCTGTGATGCAGAAGCCGTTCTAAAGAGCTGCTATGGAGAATGAGAGAGAGGAAGTGGAGGGGTTTTGGCCTACATAGAGGTCCCCATTGGGCAGCAGGGGAGGTAGAGAGAGGCATTTGCCACATGTTCCTCTTGGCCTCAACAGTCACATTCCAGATTCTCAGTTGTGTCACCTGGAGCCCTGGATGCTGGAGAGCATGTTCCAGAAACTTCTGTTCCAATCTGAGTGGTCTTTATGTCATATCCAGTCATATCCCACATGAGACCTCAGGCCTTCTGGGGACACTCAGGTTTCTGGAGGAGAGGAGCTTCCTCTGGACCTCGAGGGACCAAAACATGCCCCGTCATGACCAGTTTCTGCACGCTGACAGGGGCTGCCTTTTTGACTGTTCCTCAGGACCTGTGAGGATCCCAGGACAGAGCCACGGAAGTCAGCCCCAGCGACCGGGAGAGCCCCACCAAGGATAAAACATACCACTTCCACCCTCACAGCCTGCCCTCCCAAACCTGGCGCTTGCGCCCTGAAACCTCAGCTCCCATTCACTTGGGGGAGGGGGGTGCCAGCCCAGGCAGGCTGGGAGCAATTCCAACCACAAAATTTTCCCTCTCTGGATCTGTTTCATCGTTACTTTGGGGTGAGACCATGGTGTTGTTGCGGAGTGAAGCAGGCAACTTGCAGTTAACTTGTTTGAGCCTCAGCTTCTCAATCTATAAAATGGATGCCTGCCCAGCAGGGCTGTTGTAAGGAAGGGCTAGTTATCAGTGCTGTTATTGCTGATTTTGTTCTTGCTGCGATTATATTCTACAGTATCAGGGATTCTAATTCAAGTCCTTTGCTGTCCCCGCCAGACCTTCTGACCTGAGTCCTGGGAAACAGACACATTCAAATCCCCTGCCCAGAGTGAGTGAGGAGGAAGGAGGTTTGGCAAGCTCGAAGACAGTCCCCTGCTGTAGGGAGCTAACCCGGAGGGTACCCATAGGGTTATGGCTAATACTTGCTGGGTTCGACTTTACATGCTAACATTTAATCCTTCTAACAACCCTGTGATGTAACCACTATTATCATCCCCATTTTATGAGAAGAAATTGGAGCACTGAGATGGTAAGCAACGTGTCCAAAGTCACACAGCAAGTTAATGAGAGCCAGGGCTTGAATCCAAGTAGTCTGTGCTCTCAACTCACTTTGCTGCTCTGCTGAGCTTCTTAAACTTCATGCCTGTGGCTTGTGTGAGCCCATCATTGGCCTCCATACAAGGAAAAGGGACGTGGCCTTGCTCCGGGGGCAGTGGGACAAGGGAGTTGGGAAGCTGGATTGTCCTCTGCAGTCAGGTCAATCTGGGTCGAGGCTCCCAGGACAGAGAAGGTGCTGGCTGAGGGGGCAGGACAGGGTGCAGGGCTAGGGGCAGAGGCAGGCAGGGGCCGGAGCCTGAAGCCAGAGGAGGGAGGTCCAGAGAGAAGTCTGGCTGGGCACCAGGTCTCCCACGAAGTCTAGCATCCCTGGGCTTTGAACCCGTGGGCCCAAATCATGCTCCCTCTTTGTGACTGGGCCCAAGCACTCGGAACACAGTGTAAATCACTCCTCAGAGGAATCCAGTAAGGCCTCTTAGGACAAGGTCCAAGGTCCTGCTCAGGGGGCCTGCTCACCCAGGCCTGATGCCAACAGCAGGTTCCTGGAGGAAGCGCTCCCTGCTGCCACTGGCTGGGTGCTGGGCTCAGGGAAAGCAAGCCCTTACCTTCCCTGGATCCCTCAGAGGCTCTGACTCAGGTCCCAAAGAATATATGACAATGGGGACAGCAGATGCTGCCTTCTGCCTTCTGGCCCAGAACTGCAGGCAGGACACCCCCCACTACCACCACCAGGTCGGCATGGAGGGAGCATAAGGGCAGGGAACAGGCCCAGCTGCAGCAGCTCCTCCCTTCTTTAGGACATGCCCTCCGCCCTTTAGTTATGCTACTCAAGGTCCTCACGGTCTTGGGCTGGGGCCACCTGTACTGCTGTCCCAGACCCAGGAACTTGCCAGACCTGCAAGAGTCAGACATGGGGGTGGGGACATGTGCACTAGGCTCTCCTGCCATGTCCTCCTCTGCTGACTAGCCCTTAGATGTCACTGTTTCCCTGTTTAGTCCTCAGTACCTCCTCAACTCTGCCCAGACCCCGATCTTCACTCCTGGCTCTCGGTGACCCCACTGCCAACGACGAGTCCCAAACACACACACGCAGACCAGAGTCCTCCCAGCTGCACCCAGCTGTCCCCAGGCATCTCCCTCTGGAAACTGCACATCAGGCATTGACCCCTAGTTCCCGCAAAGCTGGCCCCTCCTCAGGGTGTCCAGTCCCCCATCCAGAAACCAGGGACACCCCGTTGCTCCCTTTCTACTTCCCACAGCCACCAAGCGTGCCAACCCTGTGTCCCTTGTGTCTCTGAAATCTCTGTTCCTTGCCACAGCTTAGGCCGGTCTTATCACCTCTCTCTGGGTCTCTCCCCTCCAGCCCATTGGCACAGCATCCAGAATGACTTTTCTATCGTGATTACATCACTCCTCTGCTCAAAACATCCACAGATGAGCCTCAGATGCTCTCATGTTGAAGAGCAAACTATCTTGGCATGATAGCTTGGCCCTAGCTGATCTGGTCCACCCTTCAACCTCATCATTGCCGAGGGCACCCCTTCACCCTCCACTTGCAGCCCGCCTTGACCTCCTGCCTTTTTCTCAAGCCTCTCCCTGTATCAGTCCTGCCCTCACCCTCCTTCTCTGCTGGCTCTTTCCTCAAAGGTTAGCATTGCATTCAGTGGGCATGTGTGGGGTGGCCACCAGTTTCCTGATAACTTCCCCTTGTCTAGGAATGACCTAAAACCAACAGGCAGCCTCTCCAAAGCACATTTGCACTATAGGAGCCTGCCACTGGTCACAGTGGGTTGGACTGGTGGTGGATACTTGACCCAAACTGGGTCAATGAGACTCTGTCACCGGAGTACTTGAAACTTGCCATTGAGAACTCGGGAGTCCCACGCATGGAGCGTCATTAACGCCCACAAGTGACACAGCACAAGAGGTACCATTCCTGTCCTCAGGCCGCTAGAGCCACCTGTTCCCTGTGTTACTGAGTCAGCTGTCCCTTCAATATTCTTCCCATTGCTTGCAACTGAAAAGGAGCTTAATTTTGTCCCTCCTTAAAACTGCCTCCCTTGCTCGGATTATTTGTTTTTTTGGTGTTGAGTTGTAGAAGTTCTTTATATATTTTGGATACTAACCCTTTATCAGATATGTCATTTGCAAATCTCTTCTTCCACTCAGGTGTCTTTAAGTTTTGCAGAAGACATGAACAGACATTCCACCAAAGAAGATATCCAGATGGCCAACAGGCACATGAAAAGATGCTCAATGCCACTCATCATCAGGGAAATACAAATCAAAACCACAATGAGATAGCACCTCACACCTATCAGAATGGCTAAAATAAAAAACACAGGGGCAGATGGGTGGCTCAGTCCGACTTCAGTTCAGGTCATGATCTCACAGTTCCTGAGTTTGAGCCCCACGTCGGGCTTGCTGCTGTCAGCACAGAGCCTGCTTCAGATCCTCTGCCTCTCTCTCTCTCTCAAAATAAATTTTAAAAATTAAAAAACAAAATTAAATAAAATCAGGGCACCTGGGTGACTCAGTCAGTTAAGCGTCTGACTTTGGCTCAGGTCATGATCTCGCAGTCCATGAGTTCTGTGCTGATAGCTCAGAGCCTGAAGCCTGCTTTGGATTCTGGGTCTCCCTCTCTCTTTAGCCCTCCCCTGTTCATGCTCACTCTCTCTCTCAAATAATGAATAAACATAAAATAAAATAAAATAAAATAAAATAAAATAAAATAAAATAAAATAAAACAAAATAATAAAGTAAAATAAAATAAAATAACAAAAAATGCAAGAAACAAGCATTGGCAAGGATATGGAGAAAAAGGAACCCTTGTGCACTGCTGGTGGGGATGCGATACGGTGCAGCTGCTATGGAAGACACTATGGAGGTTCCTCAAGAAGTTAAAAATAGAATTACTCTATGATCCAGTAATTCCACTCCTGGGTATTTACCCAAAGATTTGAAAGGAGATATGCACCGCTATTTTTACTGCAGCATGATTTACAATAGCCAAATTATGGAAGCAGCTCAAGTGTCCATCAATAAATGAATGGATAAGAAGAAGATGGTATCTATACACAATGAAATATTACTCAGCCATCAAAAAGAAATCTTGCCGTTTGCAATGACATGGATGGAGCTAAAGAGTACAATGCTAAGTGACATAAGTCAGTCACAGAAAGACAAACAGCCTATGCTTTCACTCACATGTGGAATTTAAGAAAAAAAATGAACAAAGGGGGAAAAAGGGAAACCCAGAAACAAACTTTTAACTACCGAGAACAAACAGATGGTTACCAGAGGGGAGGTGGGTGGGCAGTGGGTGAAGTAGGGGATGGGGATTAAGAGTACAACTATTTGATGAGCACTGACTAATGTATGGAATTGCTCAATCACACACACACACACACACACACAAAACAAAGCAACCTCCCTTGCCCCAACCTCCCCAACAGCAAGGATGACCCTGCCCTCTTCCTCTTCATTGGTTCTTGACAAAGTTTTCCAAGTTCACCTCACTCCCTCACCTTTCATCTACTCACTCCTCAGCCTGCAATAATTAAATTTGCTAAATATTTATTTAGCATCTGCCATGCGCAAGAATGACAACACAGAATAAGGCACGGCCTGTGGCTTCAGAGGGTTCACAGTCTACCTGTGGGGACAGGCACAGTAAGGGGTATGTGCAATTTGCAGTACAGATTAAAATAAACAGTGGCAAAAAATAAAAATAATAAATAAATAAACAAAATAATAAAATAAAATAAAATAAAACCATGGGAAGGGAATAGTAGAGAAACTCACGGGGTGTTATGAGACAGAGGGGCTCACAAAAGGCGTCCTGAAGGATGTCCCCGGGGGACATCTGAACAATTCTTCCAGCTATGAGTGACAAGGAACACTTTTATGCACAGGTTCCAATTCAGGAAAAATAAAAATCAGTGACTCCTTTTTACTTTTGTTTAAAATGAAAATAGATTTATTAATGCCCATGAAAAATGTAACATACTATAAACATTTAGGTCACTCACTTTATTGGTAGGGAAAATTTTCAACAAGAAAGTTGGCACTCCTGCTAAAATATTATCATCGGGCTCATATGAAATGTTGGCAGGTAGGAGGGCTATAGGGAGTCTAAGGACCAGGGATTTCCATCACAGTCATAGAGGATTTGCAAGAACAGAAGGGCAGTATAGGCTGGGGAGAGAATGTGAACAAAAAGTGCATGGAGAAACCCCACGTAGGAGAGAAGGAAAAACAAATAATTACTTTAGTAGGGAGTGATGTTGGGAAAGGCAAGAAAGGGAACCAAGAGGCTGACAGAGGCCTTATTTCCCTAGTCTGGCCCTTGGTAGTTGTCCTGAGAACAGCAGGGAGTCATTGAGGGTTGTTGAGCAGAGAAAGTTTATCAGGGAAGGGAAGATTGCTCTATCACTGGTTGGCCCTTAAGCCCTAGATACCTCTGTCCCTGAGGCTCATGGACCCTTTGTAGTATCAACTATCCTTAAGCTGTCAGGTATGAGTGGGGGGTATCCAAAGATTGGGGCTCAGAAGGAAAAGTGGTCCCTGCTACCCTCTGTCCCCAGCCCGCCAGCCCCAGGTTGAATGTAATTGTCCTCAATGAAGCCATCGTCATCTTCTTCACCCACCTCCGGGCAGACACCCTTCCCTGTCCCGGGCAGCGGGCGGTGCTGGTAGCTGGTACGGTATTTGCGGCAGAGGTGGCACTTAGCAGCAAGTGCAATGAGGAGAGAGAGGACCACAGCCCCCAGCACAACGCCTACCAGCACAGGCCATGCCCGGGCCCCAGTGCCCGGTCCAGGGGAGATGGCTGATGCTGTGAGGAGCTCTGAGGGCCCCACAGTGGCTGCAGAGAAAGGGACAGCATTATGGATGAGGCCCCAGATGGGTTCCCTGGGGAAACCGAAAGGTGTGGGGACAGGGTCCTTCCCCCAACCCCCTCCTCGGCCTCCTTCCCGTTCACTCACTTTGGTTTGCCTCACTCATGAAGGGGCCTGAAGACACCGTGAGCCTCAGCTTCTTCCAGAAGAGCTTTAGCTCCAAGGAGACCCCCCAGATGCCAGGCAGCCCTGGAGCACAGAGTCCTAGAACATACACACACGTGTGGGTGTCGGGGAGGCCACAGGTGCACATTCCAGGGCAGACTCACAGCCGTGTTAGGGCGCTGCACCAACTCTGGGCACTGGACAATTAACCGTAACCAACTGGGCACAAAAGAGAAATTAGCTGACTACCTGGGAATTGGCTATGTGTGTCAGGGAACACTGCAGGGTCCAGCTGTGAACGCAGCTGAAAAAAAATTATTCAGTGCTGGAACTTCCTAAGCATGTATGATTCAGGCACCAGGCTATGTGCTCATGGAACACCGTAAGGTGGGTATAAACATTACCCTCTCTGTAGATGAGGAGTCTGAGCCCCAGAAGGGTGAACTAACTCAGCCAAAAGTCCCAGGACTTGAACCCAGGTCTCTGATACTGGGGCCCAGAGCCCAATCTGCTACACTGCCTGAGTGGCCGAGGATGGGAAGTTGGGGCAGAGGCAGTTCTGGCTCCCAGGGGCCAGATGACAGCAATTGCTGAGAGCTAATGAACCAAAGTAGAGACCACATGTGGAGGACAGTGCCAGTTCCTACCCAGCCAGGGGGCCCCTCTCCTCCTCAGTCAGGAGTCCCTGCTACCCCACCTTGATGCTCCGCTCTTCAGACACATCCCTTGTCCATTCACCTCTGTCTGTCCCCAGAGGGGGGCAGCATTCAGGGAGTAGCCAAATATAGATCATCTGGATCAGGAAATTATCAAGATAAGAACCACTAAGGCTACAGAGGAGACCTGAATTAAGGGAGTATCTGGAGGAAGACCATCTAGGCATGGGAATACCTATAGGAGGAGCTGCTGAATCAGAGGAATGTCTGGAGGAGCAACACCTGAATCCGAGGAGTATCTAGAGGAAGAGTACTTAGTTTGGGGAAGTACCTGTCAGAGGACCAGCTAGGGCTGGAGATTATTGCAGGTGGAGCACCTGAATCAGAGGAGTACCTGGGGAGGAGTATCCACACTAGGAAAGTACCTAGGAGAGAAGCATCTGGTTTAGAGGAGTACCTGCCATGTAGTCTTTAATACTGATATCTTAATGATGCCTTCTCTCCTCACATCCCACCTGTCACCAAGCCCCATCAGTTCTTCCTGGAACTATGTATCTCTGGAATGACTCTGTCCTTCCTCTGCACCCCACTGCCACTGCCCTAGTCCAAGCCACCTTCATCTTGTCATCTTGACTTGTATGACGGCCTCCTAACCATCTTTCCCCACCTCTAGTCCACTCCCCAGAGTGATGGACCTAAAGCCAAATCTGACCCCATCACTCTCCCACTTAAAAATCCTTCCAGAGCTCCCCAGGCCTTCAGGACTGTACATAGATTCTTCCGCATGTTCCTCAAGGCTCCACAATCCATCACATGGCCCTCTGGCCAACCTTGTCTTCTCCACAGTTCCCTCCCCCATGCTGCATACACACCCACCTCCCACCTCACCCACTCTCTTGTTTCCCAGCCACCCCCTTCTCAGTATTTTGAGTTCCCCATCCCTCAAGGACAAATCAAACCACGCCTGCCTGTGAGGTTGTCCCCTGACCCCCCGGATGACCCCTTCACTGGCCTACCCAGTCAGTACCTATCAGAATTGGCAGTTACTAGATGGGCAGCTGCCTGGGGGCAAGGACCAGGCTGATTAAAGTGTGCCCTGGCGCTGGCAGAGAGCTTGGTGCCCAGCTGTTCGGTCTGGGAAAGAGATGAGTATGGGGGAGCTGGAGAGTGAAGGGGGTTATTAGAAAGGAGAGCTAGGGACTCCTGGGTAACTCAGTTAGTTAAACATCCAACTCTTGATTTTGGCTCAGGTCATAATCTTTTATCGGGCTCTGGGCTGACAGTGCAGAGCCTGCTTGAGATTCTCTCTCTCTCTGCCTCTCTCTGCTCCTCCCCCCACCCTCAAAATAAATAAATAAATAAATAAATAAACATTTTTTTTTAAAGGAGGGCTAAAATCACTCATTCACTCATTAGATGTCTACTTTGGGCCCCACACTAGGCACTGGATCCACAGAAAATAAGATTTTGTTAAATGGAAATGAATTGTATTCAATTTGAGGTCTGTACGATTTTCTTCCCAAGAATCCTGTGAATTCTTCCCAAGGACACACACCCCCACATCTCTTCCACCAACAAACACACACCCTCTGATCTCACAGATATACACACCCCAGCCTGATTTTGTGGTTCCTTTTCTGCTCCCAGGAGCCCTCAGGGATCTGTGGGATCCCCCTCCCCGGCCCCCCAATGTCTTCCCCTTCTGCTCCCCACCTGTAGGAACTGTGCACAGTCCTTGGATGAAGCTTCCGGCTGGGGCGGGCAGAACCTGAGCAGGTGGGTGGGCCAAAGCCACCGACTGACTCACCTGGCGATGCGGCAGGCAGGCGGGGCCAAATCCGCAGGTAAGGGCCGGGCCGCAGGCAACGCCTCCAATCAGGAGGACTAATTACGCTTCTTCCCCCAAGCTTTTGCCTTGAACCCTCTGGCGCACGCCCCGCCCCCACCCCCAGTGCCGGGTGCAGAATGTGGGGGGAGGGGAGGGGGTGTTGGTGCAGTCTGGGATCCAGAGAGGGGTCCTGCGGGCCCTAGAACCGGCTGGCAGACACCTCAGCAGGCAGCTGCTCAGGCCGGCGGCCCTGACAAGCTAGTGAATTTCCCGTGACAGGTACAAAGTCCTGAGCTGGAAGAGGGAGCTTTGCAGGCTTGGGAAGGCTGTGGGCCGGAAGTGGAGGGTAGGAGGTGGGAATTCTTCCCTGACAAAGCCTCGGGGACCAAGGACGCTAAAAGGTGCCTGCAAAAGTGTGTGTGACCCTGTGCAGGGTGTTGGGGTGGGGGCGGGGGGAAGGTAGGGAGTTGGGGATAGAGGTCAATGGCGAATTATCTGTGCCCTTGGGGCGTTACTGTGTACAAGAGTGTTTACCGGGATGGAGTCTTCCAGCCTTCATCTGGATCTCAGAGGATACTGGGAGCTCAGAGGGCCAGGCTGTGAACCCCTCTCCCTTTTGCCTTACGCCTCATCCCCAGGCCTAGTGCCTCCTTGTTGTTTAAGACCGAGCTCAATGGGACACCTGGGTGGCTCAGTCGGTTAAGTGTCAGGCTTCAGGTCAGGTCATGATCTCACGGTTTGTGAATTTGACCTCCCCGTCGGGCTCTGTGCTGACAGCTCAGAGCCTGCTTCAGATTCTGTGACTCCTTCTCTCTCTGCCCCTCCCCATCTCGTGCTCTGTCTCTCTTTCTCTCAAAAATAAACATTAAAAAAATTAAAAGTAAATAAATAAAAAGACCCAGCTCAAGGGTCACCTTCCCTGAGCTCCTAGTCCTCCCACACTAGTACCGCCTCCCCCCTGCAAGCCGCACCTTCTTCTTGTCCTGATCACCCCCCCACCTCCACCCCCTTGCCATCTGCCCCTTTCACGCGGAGCTCTTTCCTAGCAGAGCCAGGTTTTGACATCTCTGGGTTCCCAGCACCTGACCCAGGGCAGGTTCTCAGTAAATATTTAAAGGAGAAAGTGTTACGAGTTAAACCACGCAGGCACAAGAATTCACAAGGACCCACAGGGCACAGCCAGAGCAAGGGCTACAGTCATGTAGAACCCAGGCTGGAAGGTGAAGGTCAGCTCATGCAGGACCTTGAATATCTTAACACGGAGTTGAAGTCCTACCGCCTTTGGCCCCTCCCGGACTCTTCCACCTTGTCTGTTACCTACCCAGCTCCAGCTACACCAAACTGTTCTCTATTCCCAGGACCCACCGCGCCCTCATCTCCCAGGCTTTTTGCAGGTGCTCTTCCTGGGCCCCCAACCCTTCCCTCCAGCTCCTGCCCCCATGTGTCCATCTCAGAGCTGGCTGATTATTCCTCCCAGGCCAATTCATCACTCAGGCCCCAGCTCAAGTGCAAACCAGCCCTCCCTGATATGCACTTATCTGGGTCCTTCCTTCCCTCCTTGGTGCCCCACAGACACTGGCCCTTCTCCCAGCTAACCCTGACAGCACACCATTGTGATTTTCTCTTCATTTGGCACAGTCCCCCAGGAGCCAGTAAACATGAGGTAGGATCTGTGTCTGTCCTGTTCATTTCCACATCCCAACATCTAGAAGGGCAATAATAAGTGCTTCCGAAATGAATGAATGAGAAGAAAGGGACTATTACCCCAGATGGGGCAGTGAGGAGCCAAGGAAGGTTTGGGGTCTTGCTTTGATTTTGAATCCAGGAGATCATAGGATTCAAAAGATAATCATTGAACACTTATCAGTCCCCACCTGGGACTGAGCAGTCCCAGTGCTGGTTCTTTATTAGATTAAGGTATTCATATAGCATTACCCAATTCACATTAAAAAAAACACTCACCATTTTAGCCACTTTCAGGCCACTGTTCAGTGGCATTTAGTACATTCAGAATGTTGTGCAACCATGGCTATCTAGTCCTAAAACACTCTCATCACACCAGAAGGGTCCCCATCAAGTAGCCACTCCTCATTTCCTCCTCCCACCAGCCTGCATCAGCCACTAATCCATTTTCTGTCTCTGTGGGTTTGTTTATTCTGGGTACTTTTACAAATCCCATTTGTGCCAGATTTTTAATACACTATTTCATTTAAACCTCATAACTGTAGTAGGAGATAGATGTTAATTATCCCTTTAACAGATGATGCAAATAAGTCCCTGAGAAGGTAACTTCCGTGAAGTCCTACAGAAGAAGACAGCGTCTGCACATCCACCAGTCATTCATTCAATGAATATTTATTGAACGCCCGTCATAGAGCCACAACCAGCCCATACAGCACACATGGCAAAATAGCAGAAGGCAACTTGCTGGATGCCCCCAGCAGAGAACAAGCTGGATGTCAGCACCTGCCCCTCAGCCAGGAGCTCTGATGCAGTGAACAACCTTTACAACCTTCCATGGCAGCCCTGGCAACCATGTGGTGGGCTCAGTGCTAGCACTGGGAACAAAGTTCCCACCACCGTATAGCTTTCATTCTGCTTGGGAAGACAGACAATACCCAAGTGAAGAAATAAATTAGTTTAGATAATGGTGAGTGCAGTGAAATGTAAAATAGCTGAGGGGCACCTGGGTGGCTCAGTCTGTTAAGCGTCTCAACTTCGGCTTGGGTCATGATCTCGTGGTTCATGTGTATGAACCCTGTGCTGAGCTCTGTGCTGACAGCTCAGAGCCTGGAGCTGCTTCAGATTCTGTGTCTCCCTCTCTCTCTCTGCCCCTCTCCCACTCATTCTCTTTCTCTCTTTCTCTTTCTCTCTCTCTCTCTCTCTCTCAAATAAATAAACATGTAAAAAATTTTTAAATAAACAAGAAAAGCTCAGATTCTAGACATATTCTGAAGCTGACATGATTTTTTGACTGGATGTGAGGTTTGAAGGAGGAAAAAAGAAAGGAATCAAGAATCACTGCAAAGGTTTCTTTTTCTTTTTTTAATGTTTTATTTATTTCTGAGAGAGAGAGAGACAGCGTGAGCAGAGGAGGGTCAGAGAGAGAGGGAGACACAGAATCTGAAACAGGCTCCAGGCTCTGAGCTGTCAGCACAGAGCCCAACGCAGGGCTCGAACCCACGAACCGCGAGATCATGACCTGAGCCAGAGTCAGCTGCTTAACCAACCGACTGAGCCACCCAGCCACCCCGGGAATCACTGCAAAGTTTTGACCTGAGCAACTAGGAGGAGGCTGGAGTTGTCATCTACTGAAATGAGGAGACTCTGGAAGAAGCAGGTCGGGGGAGGGCAGTCAGGACCTCAGTGGTGGACATGTTAGTGGTGAGATGCCCATGAGACACGCAGGCTGTATCCCAGACAAGCCATCCCATAAACTAGCCTGAACATTGCAGGAAGGTAAGGTCTGCACAGACATGTTTCAGAACCAGTAAGATGTGAATGATTTATAAAGCCAGTCGCCTAGATGAGATCCCCAAAGGGAAGTGTGGAAAGAGAAGAGAGCTGAGGACTGAGACTCGGAGCATGCAGGGAACGGAGGTCAAAGAGGGGAGCAGAGCAAGGAAGGTAGGACACAGACACAGGAGAGAGAGGGGGAGGGAGACAGGCGGGGAGGGAGGCGTCTGGGAAACTGGAGGAGAGAGCATTTCAAGGGCAGGAGCTTGGCTAGCTACGGCAGATGCTGATGATAGGCCAATGAATCTACGGACTGAGAACTGACTTTGAAATTGGTCATGTGGCGGTCACTGGCCACCTTGACAAGAGCAGTTTCACAGCGTGATGGGGACAAATGCCCAGCTGGGCATGATGTGTGATGTATGAGCGACGTGATGTATAGGAGCAGAGGAGGAGAAGACAACTCTTTCCCGGAATTTTGCTCCAAAAGGAGCAGAGTGGGGCAGACTCTGGAGACAGGGGTGGGATCCAGGGAGGGTTTTCATTTTTTTTTAAGGCTAGGAGCTTTTAGACCATATGTGTATGCTGATAGGAATAATCCAGGAGAGAGGAAACTGATGACACAGAGAGAAGGGACAACGGGAGTGAGTCCTTAAGGCATCGAGGGGTGTGGGGTCAAGTGCACAGGCGGAGGGTTGGGGTTGGACAGGAGCAGGGAGAGTCTCTCTGACGCAGTGGCACATACAGGTGAAATGATGGGAGCCGCTGGGAGTTTGCTTCTGACGGCTTCTGTTTTTCCAGAGAAACAAGAAGCAATGTCATCAGCTCAGAGTGAATAGTGTGGGTGGGGGTGATGGAATTGGGGTTTGAGAAGGTGTGAATGCAGGACACAGAATTGGTCTGGCCGGGATTGGGGATGTGCCTGGCAAAACCGATAAAGTCAGAGAGGGGCAAGGGAGCCGAGCGGTAGGCGAGGGACTGGTTGCCGTCATGGCCCACGCAACCCGGGCCCTGGGGGAAAGAGGGAAGTGAGGTCCAGGCGCAGGAGGTGTGAGGAGCCCTGGAAAAGTGGGAGGACGGATGGGTTTTAGGAGCGATTGCTGCTGTGCCAGAGAGAATACGCGGAAAAAATAGGATGCGGCCAGCAGATGGTGGCGTATAGAAGTGGGGGCTACCCTGGGGATACAGTTCTTAATACAGATGCACCCCAGGATGTGAGCCACGGAGTGGTCCTCAGATGGGGGTCCACAGACCGATGGTGGTTTCACTATTCCCTGAATCCTGTTAACTCAGTCTGCTAGTCAGAGGTCTGTAAAAAACTTCCATTAGTAAATGGAAGAGACAGAATTTGAACCCCGGGCTTCTGACTCAAAGTCCAGCACCTTTCCAGTTATACCCCAACTAGAACCCTCTGTTCCTGTGAGTAAAACTTACCATCAAGGGGTTCTATTCCTCATGGTCATTTGTAGTGACAGACAGCAATCACTTCAAAGATTTGATGGCACCTCCCAAAGGAAACAGAGGCGGGTGCTGCTAACAATAGAACAGGGAGTGGACGCTGAGCAAGCAACAAATAAGGCGTCCTG